AAAGCAAAACATGGTAGAATACTCTAGAACAGGGGTGTCACACTCACGTCATCATGGCAGTATCCTGTGACGTATTGGGACTTTTTTCCCCTTCGCTAAACTGGGTGTTGGCATGGCCAGTGAGTGATGCATCTGGCCCGCAGGCGCTGCTCTAGAAAGAACACTCTAAATCAGTGTTTCTCAGCCTTGACAATTTTAAGATGTGTGGGCTCAAATTCCCAGAATTCCCTAGCTATTCTCCATACTGGCTAGGAAATTCTGGGACTTGAGGTCCACAGATCTTAAAGGTTCTAGATATACTGTTCTGCAATTTCAATCATTCTCAGTGGACATGAATGGTATTTTATCGCTAATAGAGAAAATTTCTGATCGTTCCATAGTCAAAAGTTTTTGAAATCCATGTTCTTTCTGTCCTACTAATGGGGATGTTTGTGGCCTCTCTTCAGGTATTTTTTTAAAAAGCAAACAAAATTCTCTTTCAACAGTACCAGCCAAAGTCAATAGGCTCAGCACAGGAAAAAAAAGGGGGGCTCTTCTCCTTGTTTATATCTTAGAGATGAGCAGATTGTCAGAAAAGAAAAAAGGGTTTCAACATTACAACCATAACTGAGATTCATGACCAGGATTCAGAGTTCTGTAGGCCTAGATGGGGGGGGGGGGGAAGAGACTGCATTTATTTCACATTTCAAGATTTGTAAATCAACTTCCCTCTGCCCTATTTATTTAAAAATGGCAAATTTCAGTTAAGGTTACACTGTATTAAAATATTATTTTTAAGGGGGAAAAAAAGCTTCCTTATTCCTCAGTCCAGCATATCTAGAGCTGGGAAGGCTGCAGTTAAAAAAGGGTGGGGGGAAAGGGAACTGCTTATTTTTCTTGCCCAGGACATTCCCAGCCAGTGACATGAGTGGAAAGCTTGATTGAGACACTGCCCACTGGTTTAATTATTGCATTTTAGACCTGTACAGAAATACGGTTAGTCAGAGTTTCCATATCACCGATTAAAAATAAATTGGACTCTGAGTTAATATAAGGTTGCAGTGTTCACCAAAATCATTACATCTGAACAATCATTAAGCTTGGAACCAAACCAATCTGTAGAACTAATGTAACCTCTAGCAGACAACCCACACCCAAAGGAAAAATGAAAATCTTTCGAACTGATAAAGTTAAAATTTTCAGTTCAGATGATAAATGCATTTTTATTATACGACATCTGCCTTCATATATGAATGGGCCCCAAATAACTGTAGATTGTATTGTAAATAAAGCCATTCTTTTTGGCCTATCATCCAACCATAATGCTATTTGCTTACAAATTCTGCCAGTCCCGATCAACAATAACAAATGGGCTCATGCATTGCTCTGAGGCATAATGTGATTTGTTTACAATTTAGTAGTGAATAAGCTATTCTGGCATCTTGGCCAATGTTGCTTATTCAACAAATCATGATTAAAACAAATAATTTTACAAAAAGTAAGCCTCAAGTCTCAAACAAAACAAAAAGATACTCAATGTATAATAGAGATGACTCGAACCCACGGTATGCACACATTTCCAAGAATATACAATATCTACAAATGACATTTGATGAGTGATAACAAAGTCCTTCATTTTCAAATCATACATTGTAGAGACAAGCAATCTACCCTCTGCTATATGCAGATAGTATACTTGTCCAGAGCTAATCTACATGGTTTATTAAGTTTCTGTGATGACCTGGGGTGTGGCACAAATACAGTCAGAAAATCAGTAAGAGTCCCTTTATTAGCTCTAACTTTGCCCCCAATGTCCTGGTTACCTTCTGATCTGGAGAAGAGCTCTCCCAGGAACAGCCTTTCGCTGCAGAGAATCAAGTCCAAAATGTTGTCAACAAAAACTATAAGTCTACTCAAGGCAAGATGAGGCAGGGCAAGAGAAGGAATTCCAGACTTGAAGGAATGGCAGTAATTCAACCCAGTTGGCAGGATGCCAGAAACACAGATAACCAAAGTCAACACAAGATAAACTCACATTTGTTCCCAGAAAACACTGGTCTCAGCTTTCATCTCTTTTAAATTCTCTTCCCAGGTGTGCCTAATGAAGGGAATCAGGGCCCTTTCCTCCCCCATAAGCCACACAACCCACGTTGCCCTCTTCTCCATTCCTCCCTGCGTGCCTTAGGATTAAGAGGGGTGGGCCTAGGTCTTCCTCCAAATTCTCTCTCCCTTGTTCTACCTCTTCCCTGCTCTGCCCTGCCGGACTTTGCCCTTCTCCAGTTTCCTCCATAGCCAATGGAGCCACATTCCCGCTCTCTGTCAGCTGTTCTTCTTCCTCCTCGGATTCAGACTCTGACAGGGGCATGACAGTTTCACTTGTAGTTTGGGTATACAGTAGTCCTCAATTTACAACCATTTGGTTTAGTGAACATTTAAAACTACAACAGCACTGGAAAAAGTGACTTACAACATTCTTTGCACTTGCAACTTGCAATCGCCATTTGCAACCTTCCCAGCTGGCTTGTGACATGCAAACCCAATGGGAAGATGGATTTGCTTAACGACTGCATTATTCACTTGACAACTGCAGTGATTCACTTAACAACCACAGCATAAAAGGATCATAAAACTGGACATGAGTCATTTGACAACCACCTTACTTAACGATGAAAATTCTGGTTCAGTTGTGATCATAAGTTGAGGATTACAACACAGTATCAACAGTAGAGACCTTCAAATTTCTAGGTTCTACTATATCACATGACCTAAAATGGACACTTAACATCAAAAATATCACTTAACATCAAAAAAGCACAACAAAGAACGTTCTTTCTACGCCAACTCAGAAAGCTCAAACTGCCCAAGGAGCTGCTGATACAGTTCTACAGAGGAATTATTGAGTCTGATCTGCACCTCTATAACTGTCTGGTTTGGTTCTGCCACCCAACAGGACAGGCACAGACTTCAGAGAGTAATTAGGACTGCAGAAAAAACAATTACTACCCACCTACCTTCAATCAAGGACCTGTATACTGCACGAGTCAAAAAGAGGGCTGTGAAAATATTTACAGACCCCTCACATCCTGGACATAATCTGTTTCAACTCCTTCCCTCAAAACGATACTATAGAGTACTGTACACCAGAACAACTAGACACAAGGAAAGTCCCCCCCACCCCCAAAGCCATCACTCAGCTAAACAAATAATTCCCTCAACACTGTTACAGTGTTACAGTCTGCACTATTACAAAGTCTGCACTACTATTACTGTTAATCTTTTCATCACTCCTTATCACCCATCCCCTCCCATTTGGGACTGTATGACTGTAACTTTGTCACTTGTATCCTTACGATCTATACTGACTGTTTCCTAGTATGATTTGATTGCTTATTGTACTCTATGACTATCATTAAGTGTTGTCCCTTATTATTCTTGACTCTTGGGGAATGTATCTTTTCTTTTATGTATACTGGGAGCATTTGCACCAAGACAAATTCCTTGTGTAAATCTTGCCATGCGGTAAAACCATAAGAATATTGTGATTTTTGAGTGAATATTGCTATTTAGACAGTAAATCAGAAGTTAAAACTTTTACTTAAGATACACTATGGAGTGTGTGTGTGTGTATGTATGTATGTATTAAACATTGTACAGCAGAACCAAGTACATATATTTTGCAGGATTTAATCTTCAAATTATAGACCTAGAAGTGCACTTTGTCCCTAAGAACAACACTAAACCATTCTAGTTTAAAGACTCTTTTAACCATTCACAAAAGCTGAATGTCCTATTAAACAAGCACATTTTAAAAGGCATTAAGGCCATTTTCACAAATGACACTGAAATTTGTTTTCTGCAGTTCCCATTTCTGCAACTTGAATAAAGAATCCCTCTTAGTTAAATGCACATTTGGTTTAAAACTGTATCTCACTTTCTTTCCAGCTGTAGCGCAGTTAAGAAGTGGACTCATTTCAGATTTAAAAGCCTTTAGTGTTTTCTTGTGAAAATACCCTAAAAGTGAAGGGAAGAAAAAAAAATGCAATCTCCATCCCTATCTATTTCAAGCAAGTACTATACTTAAAGGGACCAAACATATAATTCCTGAATGATGCTTTTGGCTTCTGACTATTCCACAACCTTCCTTTAAGGGTACCAGAAGCATCACATAGGATCCAGTGTCATAGGGCATATCTATCACCTATGCATTTCTTCACTGGCTTTGGGCCAAACTATTGGCAGTTAAGTGTGAGAGGCATGTGGAAGAATCAGAAGATCCTCTACTACAAGGATTTGCTTTCTGGAACAATGTTTTATGTTTTTATTAAATTGTAACTTTGCACACACACACACATACAGAGAGAGAGAG